GACCCCTATTGGGTTTCTGAGGCGGTAAATCTTTACAGAAGTAGATTGCTCGATCTTCCTTCCACAGAGCAGCTGGTGGGTTTGAACTGCTGACCTTCTGGTTAGCAGCCAAATGCCTTATCTACCATGCCATCAGAGCTCCTTAAGGTAAATGAATATTTTTGAGCACAGGAAAAGAAGGCTTTCACCTCTCACGCTCATATCTACAACGTGGTGGAGCAGAGATTCAAGCCTAGCGTGTGGGGGAGGGGGTATGGCGGGCAGGGGGAGCACCTGGGGACGTGAAGTTTTGCTTCTGGTTCATAAGCAGGCTCCAAATCTGCTCATACATTGTCACTCTCTAGAACAAACCTGGGTTTTCTGGTTCTTCAATCTTTTCTTCTAAGAGAATCTTTTTCCCTTTTCATCCCTTGCTAATTCTCCAGCTCCCAACTTCCTGAGCTCCTCCTCACTATCCCAATCAGAAGACTGCTTAAGGGGTGGGGTAGGGGGCTGCTACTGTACTTTGCAAAACAGAGTTCTGTGCTGCCACACACATATCAGCCTCCCCATCAGAAAACCACAGGAGGGAAAATATCACCCTCCCACCTCAATGACAGGGAAGAAAGTTTAGTCACAAACTCCAAATTCCCACAAACACACATTGTTCTAGAAAAACAAGACTGTCTGCAGAATCTTTACATGCTGGTTATTTAGAATATGCGAGGCATTCTGCTTCACTTCGGACTTGTCTAAAGGGAATCACATCTCAATTTCTTACCCTTTGTCAGCCTTTTGGATGATGGTGTGAAGTAGGGAGTTTGTTAAGAGGCAATGGAAGTCTACATTTGTCATTTTTTTTATTTGGCACAAGTTGGTTCTACTTGGGGAGGCTATTTTAAACTTAAATAAGTATTACAGCACATGTTCCTGTCATTCATGCACACACATGCTCCTTGCTTAATGAAGTCTGTGAGAAGTGGTGTCATTTGTTCAAAATCAAATTGTGTTTTCCTTATCAACTTACACTAGTTTCAGATTTGCTTTACTGTAGTCCTACACAGTGAAATAAACGTAGCTTATTTTTTAAAAAAGGGAATCTCCGGAATAATTTTTTTTATGATTATTTTTAAAAGAATCAACCTCTCATTAGTTTTTACCTTTCCTTCTTTGAATTCCTAAAGGTAGCTATTTATTGCTTAAGTGGACTGGACTTGGCACCAAGATCAGAAAGTCAGCCTTCGGGTCTCTCCCCTCAGCCTGCAGGGCCCCCACCCCATGGCTGCTGCTCCATTCCCAGCAATGTTACTTTTTACCACCTAATTCAAATCACCAGGCACTTTCAAGAACTGTGTCTAAGTTAGCAGACAGGTCTAACACATTAAAGAGAAACTCAATTAAGTTTCCTAAAATGTAAGTTTAGCAAGAAAATGTAATTTAGCAAGGTTTTTCATGGTTTGTTTTTAAGGCCCTGAAGTTTTAGAGAAGGTGCTAAAGTAACCTGAAAGTACAAAAATTACTGATGTATGCATACTACCATAATAATATTTCTCAACAAAAATACCTCTTATTAAGTAAACCCTTCTCCAGCCCATCCCCATTGCCCTACCTGCCAGGATTGCTTGCTGAAAATACCCTCAAATGTTGCTAACAATTTTTAGAAAAACATGTTCAAAATTTTCTGGGTACTGTATCAGTAAAGTTGCTGGGGCAAAATGAGAAGGGCAATTCTTTGCACATATTTTTATTTTATCAGTAGCACAATTATTTCATATTCAAAACCAAACCCACTGCCAATCAAGTCTATTATGACTCATAGTAACCTTATAGGACAGAGTGGAACTGTCCTATAGGGTTTCCAAAGCTGTAAATCTTTAGGGAAGCAGACTGCCTCATTTTCTCCTGCAGAGTGGCTGGTGGGTTTGAATCACCTACTTTTGGGTTAGCAGTTGAATGCTTTAACCATTATGCCACCAGAGCTCCTCTATGTTGTATTCAGGACCAGGAGAATAGCCTTAGGGAATAGTGATTGGGAATCTACAACTGCAAAGTTAACTAAATCAAAGTTCATGCCTCAAAGCAGTCAAGATTTACGTTGAGTGTTACTGACATTTATGAAGCCAGAGCATCAAAAACAAAGAGATTCTTCCCTAGTCTCACCTGCACTTCTGGTCCATTGTTCCAAAGCTCCCCAGATATGAGAATTATGTTTATATTTACAAATGACTGTAGAAACAACCAGAGCTATGACTGTTCCTAATATTCTCCTTTCCTCTTAGTTCTCACCTGTTACCTCCTACCTGGTTCAGATTCCAAAGTCTAAAGTCTCTCTCTCTCTCTTTTTTTTTTAAATTGTGATTTGGGTGAAACTTTACAGGGCAAATTCACTTTCCATACAGCAGTTCACACTTACGTTGTCTCATGACATTGACTACCATTTACCCCAATGCAACAGCTCCCCTCCCACTTCCTTTCGATAGTTACCTCTTCCCTGTGTCCATCCCTCCATGCACTCCTGCCCCCTGAACTGTCTCCCCATGCATAAACAGACCTTCTTTCTCCCATAATTATTCTCTCCAAGGAGTGTATTTACCTCAGGTACATGTTCAACTTATATGCCTGTCTTTTGTTTGGCTGGAAGCCACAGGTGTGGGTTCAATTCCAGACCTGAAGGGCAGCTAGGGACCACAGTCTCAGTGGTTCCTCCAGGCTCTAACAGACCAGCAAACCCTTTTTCTTTTTAAAGTCTCTCTCTTACAGATGTTTTGACAATCCTTCCATAGACTTTCATGGCTGTGTCATTGAGCGTGAATGATACCTCATATGACCCTACCTGCTGTTCCTGGACAACCTCTCCTTCTGCCCTTCCCAACTCATCCATACTACAAAGCTAACTATATAAAAGTGAGCATCCATAATTACTAAACACCATATAACTCAAGAGTTATTCTCAAATTTTAAATTTTAAGTCCTTTTTCAAAAAGGCAAAGGAAGTTCAATATCTATACCTAAAACCTGTGAATTCTAAAAATCAGAGTTAGTAATGGTCCTGAATACAAAATAGAGGAGCTCTGGTGGCACAATGGTTAAAGCATTCAACTGCTAACCCAAAGGTAGATGATTCAAACCCACCAGCCACTCTCCAGGAGAAAAATGAGGCAGTCTGCTTCCCTAAAGATTTATAGCTTTGTAGTCAGGAAGGCTACAACCAGGTAGTGAAATTATGAGTGATTTAAGTTTTCTTTTTGCTTATTTGCAGTTTCAAATTGTTCTACAGAGAACTTGTATAATTATTTTAATGACATTATGCTAAGGTAGAACTGAAAAAAATCACATTTTGAGTGCCCCCACAGTTCTCATATAATAAGAATTACAAATTTTATGCAGTTGTTAAGTTATAAATGTCTCAACTCTACACACTTGCCAAACAGCTCTCTTCATAGTGATGGTAATGCTACTGTGATACACCAGGTTCTCTGCCAGAAGAGAAGAAAGAATGCCAGAACCTCACACAGATCTATTAGAAAAAGTTAAATTATATTCATTATTAGTATATGATTACCTAAGATAAAATATTACATTATCTTTATTTTCTAAATAGAAACAAAGTGTAAAGTCAACTTTCCTCAGCAGTAGTTCAGTCATTCTATCTGATATTTTGGCATGAATTTAGACTCACATATCTTTTAGCTGTTTTAAGAGCCTTACATTAATGAATCCAAGAGACTGTCTAAAACAAAACAAAGAACTAAAGTCTCATAAATAACAAAAAGCTATTAGTCAGGCTAGGACTTCATTTGGAAGGATACACACTCTCTCCTAGTGGGTATCGACCCAGGCATAGGCAGAAAGGTCTTTCACCTGTAGCTATAAAGTGGTGCAAGAGGCAATTCTGCACTGGCAACACTTCTGTTCTGTGCATGTGTTGGAAGTAATAAATACTGAGCATTAATTCTGACTTGGGTAGAGGGCAGCAAGTAACTACAAAGCAAAGCCAAGGGGAGGAAGCAAAACACCAGTGAGAACTTTGCTTCTTCCTCTTTTCACCCCTTCACATACTAAGCTTGAAAAGAGAGTAAGAAGGGATGGGAGGTAGACCAGGGGCACTAAGTATCTTTCTAAAGGGTTTTAATGCATTGGCACAGTGATTAAACACTTGGCCGCTAACCAAAAGGTTAATGGTTCAAACCCACCAGCCGTTCTGTGCCATAAGATGTAGCAGTCCACTTCTGTAAAGGTTACTAGAAACCCTATGGGCCAGTTCTACTCTGTCCTTTAGGGTCTGTAGGAATTGGAATTGATTATATGACTATGGGTTTGGTTTGGCTTGGTTCATGCCATTCTACCCATTAAGGCATATAAAACATGTAAAACACATGTTCTGGTTTAATTTTGAGGACAACATAAGCACAACCTTTAGTTTGCTTTAGTCACATACAACCAGGGCACTAAACAGCTCAACCTTAGAAGGCACTGGGGATGGCCCTATTTATCATCTCCTACCCTAAACTCTATGGCCATCTTATTCTGGCAAGTTCCAGGTTTTACCTTACCCAACTGGAAATCTGAGTCCCTTTCAATAGCCTGGTTTTGTGTTCTAAAAGGATTAGATAAACCACAAGAGGAATGCTTCTGTCCAAACATTTAATAACACTCTTCCCTGCTGAATTAAACCCCTATACGAGAAGGAACTCTATGTCTGTCTTTTTCCCCTCACAGAATCCTCTGGGCCCACCAGAGTGCCCAGCACAGATAGAAGCTCAATATGATTTCTAGAATGAACATCGGTGAGATTGTGGGCACACACCAACATCACCTCATTTGTCCCTCAGCCCTATATTTTAGGCTCTACCTACATTTATTATCATTAGCAACTCTATTGAGTACATCTCTGTTTACAAAGTACCAACACAAATAACTGACTGTGATTGCAACCTTGATCAACACCACATCCAATGGGGCTTAAGGAGTCTGGGGAAAAGCAGAGAAAACTCTTATGGCAGGTAGGCCCCTCTACTTACCGCCACCTCCACCGACTGCATGGAGAGGTCACATGGCGGCTTCAGGGCTTTGGGTCTTGTGGCGTACCAGAACGTGGTGAGTGCTGCAAAAGCTCCGAAGCCCATGAGAGTGTTGGTTGGAAGAGTGCGAACGTACTGTCGGAAGTCAACCAGCTCTGGCATTCGAAAATACCGGAATAACTCGTGGGCTTGCATTCTCCTGTGTTTGTGGTTCTCTAAGCTGAATTCTGTTGGAAGAGGAAAATGTCATATTCATTTCAGGGAGGCAGGACTCTAAAACAGAATTCCCAAAGGCCAACCATTTACTTCAATGGCTGGCAGGGCAAACAAGCCTTTAAACCTACAGTCTAATGGTTAAGGTCTTTTGCTTGCAGTCAAACTTCTTTTTCCTAAAAACTTGTTAGAAATCCATTTTAGTTCCATATCTCTATTGTCCTGTGCAAAGTTTACATTAACCACATTAAAAAGTCTTTATGCACAAAGAATTCTTGGTACAAAATGCTCAAACAAATGGCATAAGTTTCAATTTTCTTCTCTTATATTTCTGCTTTCTTCCATGTAATCAAGTACAATCAACCCTCATTATCACAGCCAAAGAGGGTAAGAGTGAAGTGGCACAAACAAGCCTACACTACCTGTTGCTGTTGTTGTTGTTATTATGTGCTGTTGACTCGGATCCGACTCATAGCGACCCCTCCTTGGGTTTCCGAGGCAGTATCACTACGGAAGTAGATTGCCCAACCTTCCTTCCGAGGAGTGGCTGGTGGGTTTGAACCCTCAGCCTTGTGGTTAGCACTGTGCTACCAGAGCTCCTCTACACTACCTAAGGGCCTCTATTTCTATTTTCTCCAACAAGCCCCAACTGGTAAAACAGACTGATCCAAATTTTATTTTCTTTAACCTCTCCCATACACTTCATACCCCAAAAGCAATAATACAAATGCTAAGAAACTTATAGTTGGCTATTCTGGTAAAATCATTTTCTTTTATATTCCCCAATACTACAACTAAGAAATATGAAAAATATATTAGTGTACATGAATTTTAAATTAATCCCCAAATATCAGAGAGAGATTAAAAGCACAATGTTTGACAGAAAATACATAGAATTCTGGAGCCAAATCCTGCCTCCCCAGCTTATTAGCTGTATAATTGAGGAAAAATTACTTCAGTAATTTGTACTTCAGTCTCCTCATCTACAAATGGAGATGAAAATAGGACTTATTTCTCACAGGGCCTTTATAAGGACTAAATGATTCACATGAAGTGCTTAGAATGGTACCAATCACCAGAAAGTGTTCAACAAATGTTAGGTACTGGAGTTTACAAGGAAATTAAGCATCCAAAATACCCTGGAGAAAATTAGAGGAACATTTCAATATATAGGAAAGCCCCAGATTGAATGTTACAGATAATGTACACATTTATACATTATAAAAAATTAATGTGCAGTACAGATAATGAAAAACAAGTCTAATTAGAAAATTATTGAATAGCTGTGCTCCAAAGATCATTTGGACACAAAGAGAAGGAAATAACAGTACATAATCTGAAAAGCTTTTCCCCAAAACTCCTGACAAGGCAATGACTGCTATCACGCTAAGCTCAGATGGTATTTGGGAGCCACTTACTACAACATGTTCTTTTTTATTTCTAGGTCACAAGTCGGAGAATATTTTTCTATTTTTAAATATAAAAATCCATTTAAATTAAAATCAATAACATGACATCATTTCACAGAGCAGCAGAATTTCAAGCTGCTTTTACTGCCCATCAATACTGTAGAAGCCAACATAATGTATTTGTTCAGCTCATTTCATCTTGTGCTACAATGGCTCTTGTGTAGTAAGTATACATACACCCACACACACACAGAGCAAATTCTGAGGCTTGACACAACAACAAACAAAGAACAGACCAGCAAATTTCTTCAGGTCATAATTCTGGAAAGAAAGCACCAGCACTTATAACACTACTTACCATCTGTGCCACCAACAGCTGACTGCTAGGTGACACACAACTGCAGAAACAGAAGACAGCCCGGGTGGGTGGGGTTTAGCAGTGCTCAGCTGGTGCCTACCCGGCCTGCCAAGGTCTCTCAGGGCATTAGTCACATGCTGAGTCCTATGATGCTGCCCACTGGGCTAAAGGTAACTAGCAGACAAAATCCATACTCACTTCTCAGGAGAACATGGGATGGAGGATAGGCCAATGAGGAGCTACAAGCAGTCACCCCACTGCTCCACCCAAGCACAGAGATAGGCATCAGTTAGTGTTCCTGCCATTGCCAGTTCTGAAGACAGACACTGTTTTCTTTCTGCTCAGCTTCCCAATAAGCAGAGACAATAAGCTTATTTTTTAAAAAAAACCATCAAAATGAATGATCAGATGTTGGGTGGCATGTCAAACCAACATAAGTCATACCAAGCAAGAAACAGATTGCTAATAGTACACTTACAGCAGATTTATTCTAGATGAATTCACAGGAATTGAGCTACTCCAGTTATTTAACATACTTTAGTGCCAAGTGTGTGCCAGGCACTATATGCTAGGACTTGAAGAAACAGTACTAATGACCCAGGCTAATGGTCCGGGCTAACCATTTCACAGGGAGGTGAACAAGCATTATCGGTAAGTCATGGTAAGTAAGTGCCATCACTGTAAGATCCAAGATCTGGGAAGGCCCCTCTGAGGCTGCATGCACCCAGACTTTAAGGATAAGCAGATAAATCAAGTCCAGGTCTAGCACTGCACTGTCAGAGTTCATAAAGAATACTGCAGGAACTCTGGTGGTACAATGGTTAAAGCTCTCAGCTGCTAATCATAAACTACAGCTCAGCGGGAGAAAAGACCTGGTGATCTGCTCCCATAAAGATTACAGTCTAGGAAACCCTATGGGGCAATTCTACTCCGTCCTATAAACTTATTAGGAGTCAAAACTGATGCAATGGCACACACCACCACAACACTGCAGCTCTATAAACGCAAAGCAAACTCACGAGTACAATGTACAAACTCTGTTGTTGTTAAGTGCTGTCGAGTCGTTTCCGACTCATAGCGACTCCATGCACAGCAGAATGAAACACTGCCCGGTCCCGCGCCAGCCCCACAATCCCTGCTATACTTGATCCCATCATCGCAGCCACCGTATCAATTCATCTCATTGAAGGCTTCCCCCTCTTTCGGCGACCCTCCACCCTACCAAGCATGACATCCTTCTCCAGGGAATGGTCCCTTCTTACAACATGACCAAAATAGGTGAGACGAAGTCTGGCCATTCTTGCTTCCAAGGAGCATTCTGGCTGCACTTCCTCCAGGACAGATCTGTTAGTTCTTTTAGCAGTCCATGGTACTTTCAGCATTCTCCGCCAGCACCACAACTCAAAAGCATCAACTCTTCTTCGGTCTTCCTTATTCACTGTCCAGCTCTCACATGCTTATGAGGCAACTGGAAATATCATGGCTTGTGTCAGGCGCACCTTAGTCCTCAAGGAGATATCCTTGCTCCTCAGCACTTGAAACAGTTCCTTTGCAGTTGACTTTCCCAATGCTACACGTCCTGACTCCTGCTTCCGTTGGCATCGATTGTAGAACCAAGCAACGTGAATTCCTTGACAACCTCAATCTTCTCTCCATTTATTGTGATGCTGCTCATTGGTCCAGTTGTGAGGATTTTTGTTTTCTTTATGTTGAGATGTAATCCATACTGCAGACCGTATTCTTCAACCTTCATCAGTAGGTGCCTTAAGTCATCCTCACTTTCAGCAAGCAAAGTTGTATCATCTGCATATCTCAGGTTGTTAATGATTCTTCCTCCAATCCTGATACCACGTTTTTCTTCATATAGTCCAGCTTCTCGGTAGCATAGTGCCTAAGGCACTTGACTGCTAACCAGAAGGCTGGCGGTTCAAACCCACCAGCCACTCCTCGGAAGGAAGGTTGGGCAATCCTACTTCCGTAGTGATAACTGCCTTGGAAACCCAAGGAGGGGTCGCTATGAGTAGGGGTCGACTCGACAGCAAATAACAACAACAACAACCACACACTAGTACAAACTCTACTTCCCCTCAAATCATCCTATCTCGCATTGTCTTTTCCCTGTCCCTTAAACAAACACTGGGTATGCAGTGGTTAAAGCATGCAGCTGCTAACTAAAAGGCTGGCAGTTTGAACCCATTAGCTGCTCTGCAGGAGATAGCTGAGGCAGTCTGCTTACATAAAGATTTACAACCTTGGAGATCCTATGGGGCAGTTCTACTCTGTCCTACAGGGTCATTATAAGTTGAAATTGCCTTAATTGCAGTGGGTTTGAGGTGGCTGTTTTTTTGGTATACAAACAGGTCCTTCTCCTCTCCCCACAGACACTGAAGTAATTTCCACAGCTAGATTGTGCAAATTTGGAATTGACAAGGGTTTGTTCAATGGTCACAACCTTATGTGAGAACTTTAAATAACTGTTCTTTTGCATAACTCCTTAAACAGTCATAAGCAGGTGATTAATCTTTTTTTTATTTTAAGCACTGGCAGTAGCCAAGTTATAGACAACATTATACTAAAAAGTTTAATAAGTCTAGAGAAGAAAACTTACAAAAACATCCTTGAGAAAATTACAGATTTAGTAGCACATATGGAGGAGCATTTTATTAGCTACTAATCTGTAATGCTAAGGGCTTAAACCCAAATTCCTGCCTGTAGTGGCTGATAACGATAAACTACAGCAGCTTAACTCAGGGCTCATAGCTAGTGGCCAGGTAACAAGCTGCCAAACAATTTCACTGAACCAAAGGGTTAATGCTGTGCACAGGAACACTGTTTTTTAAAAAGCAAGAAAAAACTAAGAGAATACCTCATTTAGATCCATGTAAACAACAACTCTTGATTATGAAACTAGTAACATAATAAATATTTCCTCTTCTATTTAACTGCTATTAAGGATAAAAGTACTTAGAACATTTCAAGCTGGAGAGAAACCTACATTTAAAGACAGACAGACACACTAAATGACCTCTAAATATTGTCAGTGAACAAAAACATCACAACTTTAAGACACACTCCTAACAGGTCTCTAACAAAGTATCAAGATCCACCAACAAAAGATAAAAAACTAAAAACTCAGAGACAGATTGTATTTTTATTCCAGAGGAGTTTAATTGGAATATTATCATTATTATTCTTTCAAAAGTTGATTTCTACACCATCATTATCTCAGGACATGTATAACCCAAGC